AGGTAGTTTCCAATTTTTTTGTTTCTGTTGGTGAAAGCTTATATTGATAGTAGACAAACGTGAGTTTTGCTGATTTGTTCTTGGACTTCATTCAATGTAATTGTTTTTGGTGGAGCTACAAAAATTGCATGCAAAAATGAACATGATCCTCAATTTTTTCCATTATGCAGCCTTGTTCAGGTTTTTTTCTCTGCAGAATGTATCGATAAGTAGGATTTGGAATTCCGTTCTGGAAAACTATTCGATGATCATACCATTGAATTCTAAGTGAAAGTCGTTCCACTCTTGCATTTGGTGCTGATTTTTTGAGTTCTGAAGAAGTTTGACCAACGATAAGTTGTCACAATGAAATTTGAAGTTAGATTCATCGAGGTAATTATGAAAGTGTTTCGTTAACCACGTGCAAGGTGAGGTTCCTTCCTCGAATTGGATGCATCTCATTTGCACTAGTGTCAACGTTATGCTAGCAAATGCAACAATTTCGGTTTTTTTCTGTTTTATCTTCCTGGAAAAGGATCGCTATTTTAGCTCTTGAACTTGCGTCAAAATGTAGATGTGTGGTTTTCTTCATGTCAAGATTGGCCAAGTATTGGGTATTGATTAGATGCTGATTCAGTAAATTGAATGATTGTTCATGTTCCTCAGTCCAATTGAAAACTAGATCCTTGAGTGTGAGTCCACGAATAATTTTTGAGTTTTGACATAAATTGGGCACAAATTTATAATTTGAAATTTAGAAAATCCCGATGTTTCTTTGAGATATCATCAATATTTGATGCATTGTTTTTCACCGGATTTGGCCATATGCGGCTTTTTCATGTCAAGATTGAAGGAGACAACATAGAAATTATTTCATCAGTTCGGACTTCCATTGTCTGAAATAATATAAATTGATTTGAAATCTCTGAAGAAAAAATTAAAAAAAAAATAACTGAAAATAACAATTATATCATGCTAAAAAACCGTNTTAATTTCAAATTTTTTAAAAATTGTTTTGCATAACATTGATAATGCGCTACTAAGTGCAATATAACTTGCCATACCCAAGCACAACTTGGCTACAAATGGTTAATAAAAAATCTGAATCTGAATGACAAACATTTTAGTTCACCCCGATAAGAGAATGTGTGTATTCAAAGACATTTTCACAAAAAAAAATTTGTGAGAACAAATCTATGAAATTATACAGATACTCATCTCCACGTTTCAGGGATTATTGAGTGACAAAAATTGCTATTCCGGTAACGGTAGAAATACGTTGTTGATGAAATCAGACGAAAAATGTACTTTCTAGATATTCATTGGACAGAATATGGAAAAATATATGAAGGTTTTTGGTTGGAGTTCATGAAGACTATAATTTGCACTCTTTGTATTTTTTATGCGACGTTTCGTTCAATTAGTGCCAATGAACCTTTTTCCAGAAGTGCAAAAAATCAATCACTAACAGCGCTAGTAGTTCAGTAGGGACAAACACTGCCTAATCCTCATATAAACATATGGTATAGAACAATTGAAAAATAATGTAACGAATTAAAGAATTAACTGTCTTAGTCAAATTTATTTTTAACAATATTTCACTATCACAACTAATTTATATACAACATTTAGTAACTAACGCTTAATTTATCTTCACAATTAGATTCCTTATTCTAATCAATGGTAATTAACTATGAAAAATTTACTATTCATTTCACGTTTAGAGCATAAATATGAATATTTATTTATTTTTTGCACTGTTAAATCCACTCTCCTCGAAGCATGTATCCATTTCTTACATCTATCTCCATTAATATGAAGTTTTTTAAATGGTATAAAAAACACGTTTTCTTCCGGATATCGATTATCCGACGTACAATTCGCAAAGCAGCAATGCTTTGTTGGCATTATACTAGCACAAAATAATTTTTTATATTTTTGAATAATAAATTGATATTACGTAAATAACACTGTTTTACATGTGAATAGTTTATGTTTGTCCCTTCTACTACTGCTGCCTCTTGACACGTTCTCTGTACTATTCTCAGGAAAAAGGCTCATTGGAACATCACTCAAGTGGAAAAATATCATCGTAACTAAGTTGAATGTATCTGAAACTAGATATCTAGGAGATTACTGGATTTATTCTAATAATGTGAAAAACTTAAGTTGAACTTGAATCAATTGTTCTTAGAAAAATGTATATAGTTTATTATTTAACTCTGAAATTTCGAGAAATTCATAGCTTGTTGATTGGGCAACATGGCATCATCAAGTGGATCAAGATACCCATTCCTCATATTTTTATTCAGTCCATTGTACCCGGTATTGTACCCGAAATATTGGAAATCAATGATAACGTTATTATATTGTAATATTTTTTTCTGAATAATGAAACACAGTGCGTAGACAAAATAATATATACTTCATTCGAGTTGAAAGACATATGGAATAATTTTGTATGTAATAATGAATGAAGGATTGGAAAAGATATCAGAATTTGTTATCAGAAATACAGCTTCATTTGAAAAAATAAAAGTGGGTGGCCCTAAGTAACCGAAACGTCGTAATAAGAAAAAAATGAATGAAGTTCAATCGAAATGAAATAAGTGAAAATAAAAATTGCATTTTTAACGGTTCCACGGACAAAAAAATAATGATAATAATAATAATATGTTCATTCCCAACGAGTTTACACCGACAAATAGAGAAAATACAAATCATAAAATTAAAAAAAAATCGGATTACAAAAAGGAAATGGAAAATAATCATGACATTGAATTTTTAATAGTTCTTAAAATAAACTGTTTGTATATCGCACAGGTGGCGAATTCTTCAATAAATTTTTCTTAGGATTCCTATTGTAGAAAGTCATCTAAGTACAAGGAACTGAATTTGTCTTAACAAGTCACTACAATCAATTTCGTTATTCAAATGTTTAACTAAAAACATAATTGCGATACATATTCTTCAATCAATCAAGGCCTCTAAGTTGAATGTGTTTAACAAAATATTCTGTTCTGTGCCTCTAGCTGTATAGAATCCATTGCACTCAAAAAACATGAATTTCAAGAACTTACACTGAACAGATACTAATCGCTGAACGGAATTTTGATATAATGGAGACCAAATTAACGATTCGTAATCTACCTTACTTCTTACGAAATCTTACTTAAATCTTTAAACGTGTCACCGTTTTCGAGAGCCATATTATTTGGAATATTCGGAAATTACTAGACGAAGTTTTCTGTAACACAGTACTTTGCACTTATCTACATTCATTTGAAGTATGTTCTCACTACACCATATTTGAACTTCATTAAGCGAGTCCTGTAAATGATAGCAGTGATCTATGGACTCAAATACTGAATAAATCTACAAGTCATCTGCGAAAAGTAAATGAGGGCATGTGATGTTTACCGAAATGTCATTCATGAATTTTTTTTTTTTACAAATACTGAAATATATCTTATATATCTATGATTTCTCTCAGACGAAGAGTTTCATCAAAACAACTTCAACATTGGTGCCATAGTTATCATGTGAATATCTGATTTATTGTTTTCATACTGATCAATATAATATGAAAAATTTTGTAAGAAAGAATCAACAAAAAATTTAATTTTTCATGTAAATTGTTTATATATTGTTCGAAAGACTTTGATATTCCAAAACTTTGGAATGTTCAAATAAACCACAGTTTCCTTCTGAAGATTCTCTAGTTTTCTATACAGAATGTTCATATTTGATTGGTAAAAAACTTTCTTTCCTAAAAAATCAATCACTCTTAAAAATATAACCCATCCAAGCTAATAAAATTTATTGATATCTGGTCATTCTAGAAATGATAAAAAGCTGACATTCAATGTTTCAAATATATTCGTAGATTACTCTGACATGTCGCAGGTGTTTTCGAATCGGTTACGACTTTGACATTGTGTTACTCCAAACAAACTTCAGTTTTTTATTCTCATTTGTAACAAATATTGTATTATATATTCATGTATGTGAAAATTCACTTCTTCCATTAATTATATTGTGTAGGAATTCCGTAAATGATATCTGATTCGATTCCATTACTAATGTTTGGAATACGTACGTATTTGTGAATACAAAAGCATTTTTCGTATTATTCAGCGTTCATATAGAAGTCTTTGTTTCGAAAGTATTTTTTTTTTCGTGTACTTTAAATGTTTATATGAAAATAGCTATTTCGAGAGAGCTTTTTCTTCCAGTTTGTGTCTGAAAGTTACTTCTTTGCATGATCTACACATCTTTGTATAGAGTTAATTTTTTGAAATTGATTGCTCCCTTCATTTCTTCTGGAGATTCCTTTATTTTTTTGTATCAAGATGGGGAAGTAGAAAGTCGAAACCTTTTTCTCCCAAAAAATAATCAATATTGTGTTGTACACAAAAACAATTATTGATGAGGAATTGGAAATGAGAATTTTTCTTATCGTTATCAAATTGATTCCCTGGAAACAGAAGGAAATTGGACATTCACTGTTTTAAAAAATCAACACGAATGACAAATCGCAGGAAAATATAAACGAACTTTTCAAAATTTGAAACAACAAGAATACTAAGAATATTTTCTACAAATAATCGAGTTAATCTTGATGAGATGAACTCCTACTTTTCTTCAATTCCTTCGTTCAGCTGTTTATGTTGTAAGTGGTCTCATTATCGTTCCTAACTCGACCTTAGGTACCAAAAATAAGTATCATTGTTTATTTAGAAACAATACTAAACAACAACGGAACCCATTCATAACGCAAAATGACGCAACATCCACTCCTAACCTACACCTTCACGCCGACATTGTATTGTCGAGATTTTGGCGCTGCATTCATCGTTGGCCCATATTCGTTGCGTAACACTGAAAGTGGACCATCTTTTGGTAGCACACCGAAAGAAAGGTAACCCGTTCAGTTACGATGCGAAGAATCCGCCCCTCTTGATCTAGAAAATTCATCACACACCCAATATAAATACTGTATATGGCTGCAAATTGGTATCAGTCTTCTGCTAGGTTCTTCCTTGTACAGCATCATGAAGACCGCTGTAAGTTACCTAATTTTTTTCACAACCGATTAAAAGAACACAAAATTTCATTGACGTATGTGTTTGTGTCATCTTGACCGGTATTAGTAAACAATATTTTTTCGTTATTCAGAATAGTTGTCAACCTTTTATTTTTTAGGTTACGATTCTGAACGAATGGAAGTTTTTCTTCATGAAGATTCTCAGAATTCATTTTTTGTAACTTTCAGCATTATTCAAGTGATAACGTTGATAAATATTGTTTCTCGCTTTGATTTTCGTTTCTACAATTAGACCTAGATTTTGATATCAATTCAGCCACTGTCTATAATATTTTATCTAACACAGGTGTGCATATGAGGAGAAACATTAATTAAAATATATTTCAGTGCATTTGGATGATTGGTTCTTTGTAGGTTTCAATGTGATGACAGTATGTCTTCATTTTGTTGAAATTTCGTTTTTTCATTTTCACCTCTGATCACAACGTTAACAAATTTGTACTCGCTCATCCACACCATAGTTTCAGGATATCTCGATCATTTTTCCACTTTTTTCAAATTGTAGGCACCTAGCTAACAAGTCCGTAGTCATTCTACTAGTTATGTATATCACGTAAAAAATATGAACGGAATGAAATTATCAATTTTTCAACTTATACTTATACTAATGAATCATAATTAATATACACCAGCACCACTGCTTTGGAGCAAAGTTCATCTAAATGCACATTACAATTTTTGCAAAAAAAATATGATATTAAATCTCCTTTCATTATTTGTCACACGTGAAACCACATTGGATGAGCACAACTTCAAAACCAGATATATCTAGCATGAACCTGTGAAGTACCTTGCTCAGTTACTTTTCTGCAAACATTTCATCTGAAATGACAATAACTTACTGAAATTGTAATGAAACATTTCAGAGTGCAGATGGCAGTAGATACAGAATCAACCATGAGCGTATAACTAGTACATAGTGTCACCAGTCATGAATAATTGATTTCATCATTTACATATTTTGATACCTACTTTTGGTTCTTTTTTTGTCAGACTGTTTTCATATAATGAAATTCGTGAAACAGAAGAAACTCATTTTCATTTTCTTAATAAGATGAAGATATTTTGAAAAAGTTGTTTAGCTGCATCAACACTTCTATGTTGAAATACTTTGAAAATAAAACGTATTCAATGCATGTAATGAAATCATCCAAGAAATATGCATCGCCTTGTTCATTAGAAAAATACTGAGCTGATGCAGAAGAACTTTAGCTCGAAAATATTTTGAAATTTATAGCTTTTCATTAGATTTTCAATATTGATCTCATCAATAGAATACTCACTTGAAGTTAATGATACTGTTTCTGAATCGATTCACCAATTTTATCAGAATGTAATGAACAATATGATATTTTATCAAAAACTCCAATCATGAATTTCCAATGACTCAATATTTTCAATTAATGAGCGCAGAATACAGAATGAATTGAAACATGAATTTTATAAAACTTTGATTTCATTACTAATTGTATTTTATTATAAAAAAGTCTGGTTTCTGGCTAGCCGGTTGAATCTATTGATGAATATAATCTTCAAAAACAATTTCCCTACATCAGAACAAAACTGCAGTCATTTCACGCATACCTAATTAGCTTTATTAGTTTTAGTCATCTTCCAATGACGCTTAAGAGGTTAGAGAGTATTTTTGTTCTGGTATGGAAACAGGATTCGTTTTGGTTTGACTCTATGACAGATTGTAGTAATACCTTCCATTTCTGATTTCAAACATTTTAAAATTGTCCTTTTTTCAATTTACAGAATAAAAAATGAACCTACTATCAATATCTGGAACAGATTAGAATTGAAATTTTTTTGAATTAGGAAGGTGGTCATATAAAAAAGTTCTCATAGTTATTTTCCAGTATATGAAGGAGTGTTCATTTACGTGGCAAATAATCGTACTGGAAAGTATTTTTTCGGGTAGAATCGTCTTTCTCGTTTTTATCTAGCCAAAAAATTTGTAGGTATATACTGAAATTTTCAGTTTTTGAGAGATTATAATTATTTGGTTATTAACGGTAATATATTCATATTTCAAACTGAATAAGTGGAGGTTCCTCTCAGTTCAGTCAAAGTTTGTTGATATGTGGTAACGTCGAACAATAATAACATTTGTCGAACCAATTTTTTAGTCAGAAAAAATTGTTTTTTCAGGTATTTCTAATACTTCTGGGCATTTCCGCCACCCTAGCTGGGGAAAAGAAGCCCACCAAACGTGGGGTCTTTGGTGAATCTCTTGGCTATGGTGCAGGGAGTTACAATCTCGGAATCGGAGGAATACACTCAGGCATCTCGTCATCTATAGATTTGGGCTCCTCCGTAGGACACGGATCTATAATCCAGTCAGGATTCGGTTCAGGAATTGGATCAGGATTAGCGTCTGGAATTGGATCAGGACTTGGATACGCATCAGGATCTGGAGGATTCGGATCAGGACTTGGATTAAATTCAATCAATTCCGGGTATGCTTCTGGAATTGGCTATGGTTCTGGTGCAGGACTAGGAGGTACGATCAATCTTGGCCAGTCAGTTACTAGACATATCACAGTCACTAACAGAGTAGGAGTACCAGTACCCCAACCATATCCAGTTACAGTGGAAAGAAAAGTACCTGTCCCGGTACCTCATGCAGTACCTTACCCTGTTGACCGTCCCTATCCCGTACACGTCCCTAAACCATATCCAGTTACCGTCGAAAAACATATTCCCGTAACTGTCGAGAAACCGGTTCCTGTTCCAGTCAAGGTACCAGTTAAAGTAGCTGTGCCAGTCCCATACAAAGTAGCAGTGCCACAACCTTACCCCGTACACATACACAAGCCGGTTCCTGTTCCTGTTGCTACCCCAGTGTACGTGAAAAAACTTGTTCCAGTTCCAGTATCGAGTGGCTGGAGTTCTGGTTCCGGTTGGTCTGGCTCTGGATCCGGTTCTAACGGTTGGACCTCTGGTTCAAATGGTTGGTCTTCTGGTTCGAATGGATGGTCATCTGGGTCCAACGGCTGGTCTTCTGGTTCCAATGGTTGGTCAGGATCCAGAGGTTGGTCGGGTTCTTCGGGTTGGTCTGGATCATACGGTGGTGGATATGGTTATGGCCATGGATGGTAATTTTTGTCTAAATCTGTGATTGGAACCATCAAGCTCATTTATAAATATGCCATCTCTCATTCACTAGTCTTTGTTTTTTTCATTCAAGGAGAAAAAAGTATAATAAATATTACCGAAAAGAATCGTTTTTATAATTTCTTCTACTCAATATCTTAATCAAAACTTTGACAGTAATATCAACCCAAATATTCGTATTTTCTGCATTACAGGTCCAAATTAATTGGCCACATATGATGTAGATAATATGAAATACATATTTGAATTTTTTCTTCACTAACATAATATAGAATCACAAAAGTGTGGAAGGACCATGAATAATTTTAAAGAATCAATCAATTCTGAGTTTGAGTTGGGAATATGAAATTCACATTTTCATTGATATACTGCAAAATCCTCACTTGAAATTTAACAAATGTAATGTCACATTGATACGCTATCGCACAGGTTGTTGACGTCACAAGTTTGCTAAGTCAAACCAGTCGTCATTAGTGATATCGGATTTCATATAATCACGTTGAATCTGTTATACGAGTATTGTCGGACAAGTTTTCGTCGAATTTCACGATTCAGACAAAAATTACTTTCTCAAGCAGATTTTGTTCATATAAGTAGAAAGCCACAACCTTTTTTTCCAAAAAAAAAACAGTTTGTTATTGTAGCTTGCAACGGGTTGAAAAAAATCAAGGATCGTTTTAGAACTCATTATTCATCTTGAAGTTATACGTTGGTCCTGCTTTCAACGACTTCAACGATTTCATCTTTTACCTGATTTTTTTTTTAAATAACACACTTATATGTGATGTTGGTACGATTAGATATCTGAAACGAAAGTTTGAGTCGAGAAAATCGGTTTGGAATGCAACAGATTATGAGGAAATTTATATTTGATGATATTATGATATGAAGTTTTCATATCTTATAGTTAACAACCACATTTCAGATGATTTGTAAGATACACTATCATAATTTCTTGTACCGAAAATGTAACGTAAGATTGATATTTTTTGACCCATGTAATTTTAATGAAATATTTTCAATGGACACGATTAGGGTGTATCATCCTCATTCATTTACATATGGTTGGAAACGTAGACACTTGTCGAATATTGATCTTAAATTTGTCGCTCTTGAAAAATTTTGCAGAGTCTCAACGCTCACTTGATTTGTTAACATATATTTTTTCCAATTCTTTCAGAACAGAATGAATTTCGATTTTCTTACATTTATTTGTAACTTTTGTGCTTTTGGAAATGACAACAGTTTTTTCAACGACCTTTTTTTGTTTTTACATATTGTGACTTATTTTCCAAGAAGTTTTTCATTGATTCGAAAGCATCTGTAGAGAGACCACTATACTTCAGTATTATATAACTTACAACGCATACTACAAATATGGAGTTGTAAGAGAGTAAAATTAGATGAAACAAAGTAATACAAATTATGAAATTATGAAACAACAAAAATTATTTGGTGCTCCGGGCCGACTTCATTGATTCCAGTGGCGCATTTGCTTTTTCAGCTGCAAAAAAATCGGGAAAAATCTGCAGCACCACATCATCTGAAGATCTTGATCTGCTTATGTCTTCTCTTTTATGAAACAAAATGTAGCGTGTCTCCAGAGGCGCCAATAAATTCGAAACATCGCCAGAACACTTTGTGATACGACTATCGTCAAATTTGAACCAGTCAGTTTCGTCTTTGACCAATACGTAATGTTATATATTGGGTAACTTAGTGGACTGTTTTAATAGGTCTTTGAAAATTATCGAGTAGTTCGTTCTGTTCAGTGGTGCTAATGAATGAGAATTAACTTTTGTCTATATGTTCTTCCTCTCGCGGCAGACAGAAAACCACAGTCTTCTCGCGATAAGAATATAAACAAAAAAAATGAAAACAAAAACTCTACTTAATCAGACAAACACACTATACAGGGAGGTGGTGACGATACACGTAATAATGGCCATATTCAACGCCAGAACCACAGTGAACAATGACTGCATGAAGATTATAATAGTGGTCCGCTAGATTGAAATGTTCATCCATTCCGAACATTTGTAAGAGTTTGGTGCTCCCGTCAGAGGTTGAGTCACGTTTGAAGATCATCAGTGTTATTAGATTGACTGGTGCCTCAGATACACTTGTTTTCTTATAATAGTCAGTCAGTTTGGTGCATGTTTGGCAATACAGTTGATCATCACCCGTTGAAAGTTCAATTTTCGGATGATCCAACAATAAGATTTGCACGGACTGGTTATCATTTATAATGGGGAACTCTAGTTGGAGTTCCAAAAAATCACATCGTCATTGCTACCTCATGAACATTTACTATGAAGTAAACAAGTTTGTTGTCCAAACGAGTATCTAGTGGACTTCAAAGACTCCAGAAAATCGCTTGGTGGGAGAGATGATACATTCTCACGAAACTGCCAATTCATGAACAATTGTTTGAGTTTGGTGAATAAGTAGAAAACATTCTCGTTCATCGTTGAAACTTCGTTCTTGAAATTCTTCGTCATGAACAACACTTGTAAAATGCTATTCATGTAGCAAGTGTTTCCTAAATGGACACCAAAAGTTTCAACCGCTACTGGATGGAACAGATAGTTGTTACTAAGATATTGGTATTGTTTTCATTTCAATTTTTCCCCAGACAATGTTGCAAATCCAGGAGACTTAGAATTTTCGGCTAGAGAGGAAGCCTCGACGCAAGGGAAGTTCCATAGCACAGTTTTACTGTGATATTGATATGAGCAGATATGCACATTCTCTCGGGAACAATTCTGCCATATTCATTCAAGCATATTCTATGAATATTCTACGTTGCTTTTATGATATGATATTCCATGATTATCTGGTGAGGTGTGGGATGAGTAGAAGTATCAGTAGAGGTGTTACCTGTAAAAATTTTCAGGCGTTCGGGAATTGTGTATCAAGAAAACAAGAGTTAACACTATCAGGTATGAATGGTGATATTCTAGGACAGCATGAAATGATCATCTTTATGTTTATATCATCAGATCCAGTTGACTCGAGTATTCCCTTTCAAAAGAAGTGAAATAATGAGATGTTTTGTTCATTTCGATCGTAATGAGTTGAAAATGAATCATCAACAGGGCTATCATTGAGGGAAAATTGCAAAATTATTGCTGAAATAAATTACGCGGGCTGCCGCTGGTCGTCGTAAATCAACTGTGACGTGGCCAAGATCACACTCAACTCGACTTGCACTTGGCGATTCCGCGTCGCTTAGAGATACTTCCAGTTACTTTCCTATCGGCTCGAGATACTTCGATTACCATATATAAACGCTACCCATATCCAAATCAAAAAATCTAATGTACAGAACGGTACGAAGTGATTTAATAAGACAATAGACATATGTATATCAGTTTGAGGTTTCAGTTGAAGTGTTCAGTTATATCGTTAGTGTAGCAGTGAAATAAAGTTGAGTCAAGTGTAGTAAATTATTGGCAAATCCATGAAGGAAAACGTAACAATATTTATCAACTTCGTTTGGATCATTCGATTGAACAGTAAGAGACGTAACTTTCGTGTATAAATGCAGTTTACCCAGTTTTTCTGGAGATTTTCTTCTTGAATTGCCGCTATTATTATTGAGGCAATATTCTAGGTGGTCCTGTTCAATTTTGGTTTTATTCGCTTTATGAAATGCTTCATCTCCCAATTCAATCATCTTTCAGATGAAGACAGTTAACCAGGGAGGTTTTATGTGTTTTATAAAAAAGACATGCAATGGTGCTAGTGCATCAAAACTATTCAGCAACAACGCATTATATGTATATGATTGTATATGTATATGGATTGAAATTTCGAATGGCGTTCAACGCTCCACCGGTGACGTACGGTCGCACATTCCGACGAAATGAAAAAGTACCGTTCATTTTCATTGTGTTTGAGAGACCGCGCTATTTCCTCTGGTACTTTCCTAGCTTGATATCACTTTTTCAGTGGAGGCTGACGTTTGGAGAAACGTCAGCTTTATAGTAAACATTTCAAAAACAGTGCCACAGACCAATATGTTGGTCTGTGGCACCATACGTTACCGAATTGCGATGTGGAAAGGTAGACCGACATCACCGATATCGTATGTATATTTTCCATTGGTAATTGCTAATTGTTTTCTCTCATATTTATTTATCGTGAGTCGAAATTATGTTTTTATATTTGACAATCCTAAATATATTGATCATATGAAATTAAGTGATTTTTATTACTAAAGAATAATGAGGCCGAACAAAAATGGCTGCAGCAGTTGGTACCAGAGGGTTTGCTGGACTCCGAAACAGAACAGGCCGATGATAGAAGTAATAATGACGAACGAGACCATATTGAAAGAAGAAAAGATGATTCAGATACCGAGCAAAATCATGAAGAAGAACCTTATGAGGAAGAAAATGTTATAGAAACAGAAAAAGCAGAATCAATAACATCATAATCATCTACACAAAATTACTTTACGGATAGACCAGATAAGTTATACTACACAAAATGGAAAAAGCACTGTTCCTCAGTATGAAGATCCGGAACAAGATCAAAGAGTATTGTTACTCAGTTACACGGAGTAAAACAACCAGCTAGAGATCTAGTTGACCCCGTAGACATATGGCGTACATTTTTCGACGTTTCTAGTCTTGAAATTATCGTAACGCATACTGATGCACATATAGTGAGTTTTGCACAAGAGAAATATTATAGAGACACTTATATAAAACCAACAGATATCATCGAAATTGAAGCTTCAATTGGTTTATTATACTTATGTAGGTACATATTCGATTCGGTGACCACTGCACAAGACGCGACAACGAACCAGTGACAAGTAGCGATCATCCGGGAGGTTTTCCAGAAGGTAGTCGGTAATTACAGTATGGGGTACAAATATTTTCGTTATTAGACGCTGAAATGTTTTATACTATGAATATGGAATTTTACGTAGGTAAACAACCGCAGGGTTCTATGTTTGAATTAGCAACTTCCCTATAGATGGCGTTTGTAGAATGCTTATGCCAATTAGGTAGTGAAACAGACGAAATGTTACCACAGACAATTAGTTTACGAGCCTGAAGCTTTCCACTAAACTACTGGATGAGCACAAATTAACATTATTGAGGACAATGAGAAAAAAAAGACAGTTGCCTTTTAAGTTTGTGAATGGTTTGAACCGTCCTGTTTGATCAAGTATTTTTGCATTCCAAATAAATTATACTATTGTGTCCTACGTTCCAAAACCTGAAAAAAACCTTTTGCTCTCATCCTCAATGCATGATAGAGACGAAGTTGATGAAGAAAGTGGAAAAGCTATAATAATCTTGGAATTAAATCATATGAAAATAGAAGTGGACATGGTGGACAAGCTATCAGCAAACTATGACATGGCACGCAATACAAGAAGTTGTATTTTATGATTTGCTGAATACTAGCAGAATAAATGCATATGTCATACATAACTATAATAAGAAAATTATATAAACCTGAGAAGGCATTTTCTAACGAAACTTGCAATTGGTCTTACTGAAAATCACTTAAGAAGAAGACATACTAATCACTACCTGCCAAGACCTATAAGAACAAGAATAAAAGAAATATTGAAAGTACCAACGAAAGAGCTGCGACGAGATCCCAATGAACCAACACGTACAGGGCGTTGTGTAGAATGTACATCCCGACAAAACCGCAAGACTAAATACTTCTGTAGGTTATGTAATGAGTTCCTTTGTCTGGAGCATTCGAATATGATTATTATAATTATTATTATTATTTTTATATATACTTCTTATCTCACCTCATTCTTGTGCATATGATAAATTCTTGTGCATATGATAGATTCGAAGTATTACAAGGATAAAGAAGGACACGAAAGGAATCAAAATACAATTTTCAATATGAATTATAAATTTTAATGACAAAGTATTCAACAATTTTGTAGAATACACATTCTACTACTCTGATATCGACAATAAATAATAACTAAGCACTCACATGAAAACGACATCGAACATACTATTTTGCATTGATACACAATTTAAAATAATTTTCAAAACATTTCTATACGAATCTGATGCGACTGGACCCCAAATCAAAATGAAAAGTCGATAAGACGTATATTTTCAATAATGTATTCATGAACTCATACAAATATTCAATAAACAATCAACAGATATTCATTGAAATGAAATCACTTATGAACATGTTTTTCCAGTGATGATCACTATAACTTTATTCTTAATTTAACCACTGGAATCTTTATACATTTTCTGCTCATCTGATCCTTGACGTTTGATGAAACCAATAAATTTTGACACGATCAAAATATTCAGAAGATGTTAAATGTAACAATCATCAACTGCAAAATCATGATGTTTTCTGACTCATTCCGTTTTTACCTAATGTAAGACACTTTCATTTCAGATAAGATGAAGAATATAAATCTATGATATCCTGCCCATAGATATCTGCTCGATTTGCGTCTTTTGGAGTAACAGACTCAGTAGTTTGGAGGATGTGCGTCGTTTGGATAAATTCAGGCTGAACAGGTTGAGGTTGCTGCATCAATTGGGAAGGATCAAAAGAAGAATAAACTGGTTCCTGAGGTGGTAACTGTAGAGGCGATGGTGTTGCATATGCGTTCCTTGTCTTCAGTGGTCTCATTGGAAGAGGATCACCAAAACCTACTCGATTGGGAGGAAGATATTCGTAGCCATTCTGATCTGTTGGCAACTGACCTGTTGGCAAAAAAAAAGAAACGTTAGATTCAATCCTTTCATTTGAAATAATTTTCAAGCTCTGTTTAGGTAAAACATATTTTTCAGACTCAATCAAGACAAAACTAAAGTGAAAAATGGTGCTAATGAAGGAATTCAGCCCTTGTAGGTCTTCGAACTTCCAAGAATTTGTTTGATGTATGTAGAAATTCATAAATTATTTGATCAACAATGGAATAGCACCTATCACTTTAACAGAATACCTAGATTATTCCTCTAAAATGATATAACATTTTCTCACATCATCATCTAAGTCAAAACTGAATTCAATGAGGTTTGAGAATGTTTCTGTGAATTGATTAATACATGAATGATAATTTTTATGTTTTCCTATGACTTTGTCTGTTCCAATGGATACAGTAATTTCGTGTTTTTTAGAAAATTATTTTTGTGCTGCTGGAAAGTGCCGAATATTGTCGCTTCACTACAGCTGTACTATAGTTTACTGAATCTCATGGACGTTATTGAAAGTGTTACTACTATTGCAGTAAGAACAACAACAGCAATTCTCATATATGTGGATTGACTATATAAAAGCACCTGATACCATAAATCATCAGATAATGCTTTCTATTTTGCACTTTTGTGGATGTTCACCAATCATTATCAGGTTTTTAACAGAGTGGAGACTGAACAGAAAGGATACTTGGTCCTATATTCATAAATCTTGAAAATCTGTTGAGCGCCTTTTCATGTCGATAGATGATAGCTGAATGAACTATATATGAACATTTGGTTAAATTGGGGCGTTAAAAATATCATGAATGAATGATATAGTGGAACTCTCGTGAATATTATTGTTTCAAAGAAGCAGTTACATGTTGAGAAAGATCAAAAAATTTGGTCTTGTATCGATTAACAGACCTCATGAAATCATAATTTCTATTGACCCTGATGATCATATTGTTTTTCAAATAGCTTTATCTACACAAACATTGTTATCGACATCACCAAAATAAGATTGAATGATATACTTGTATTGGATGCACGGACCATGTATGGTTCATAGAGATGTTATTCGTATTCAAAAAATGCAAAATTGAGTCTCAGATAAATTTACGGAATTTGAAACACACACGATGACTAAAGATGGAAATTGAGGAAAATATCACTGTATGGTATTAACACGCCCATATATTTCTGAACCGTTTCTTTTCTTTTTTTGTTATAAACTGAAATATCTACGGAAATAAATATGGAAGAATTGATATTCACAGCTTAAATCTCTACCAAATAGGTCAAGTCTCTCACCTCACAAAACATTCGCTTCTCAAATGATCTCCACTTGCAATGTTTATGAAATCTACAATCACATTCAAAGATATTTTATAAGCTGAATCTTTATTTCTTTCACCACATTTGAAGTAGAAATATTTTTCCAGAACTATTGTACATATATATGAACGAACTTGTTTAATTTTTCGGGAAGGAGGTACCAGGTGTTGAACCAGCAGTTCTTTGGATTGTTGTGGTTCATTTTTGGATTGTGAAAACGAATATCATCATTATTGTTATCATCACTATTTTTTTGCCGATGAAAGAGCTGATCGGGCTATTTGAAGTTTGAACAGATTCAGAAGGGCGCACTAGCATCATAAACCAATAACCACTTTCCACACCGTGAGTTAAGTAATCTTTGGGTCAAAAAATCTAGTGTCGTAAGTAGACGCAATGAGCCAAGGATGACAGTCTTCTGCATTTGTCACACCAAGATTTCTGCATTCATACCACCAAGATTTTTGCCTTCGTGTGGAAAGCCGGTATGATTTTGAAATTCGAGGGTAATTTCGCCAATCTCCATTTCACCTAAAGGACTCCAGTAATCAGAAAATTCACATCAACAGAGTCGGCTCGATATAGGCTTTCAATTTCGAAAAGAAAATTATGACACTTCATACGCTTACTCTTCTGTTTCCGGCGAAATTCGTCTCACCATGTATTGAAATACAACGAATAACATCTTGCTCTGTTGGCCGAGGAGAACTAGACATGTTATTGGTCTGTAACTCTTAGGAATTGACAAATCCCAGTTTTATGGAATAAGAGCGGTTCGCATTCAATAAACCAATTCGTTATCAGCTGCTTTCCATCCAGCCATGAGTTGTATTCTCTGGCCAGATGGCTATCGCTGCTTGGAAGTTTTCCCATCCGGCGAAGGAAAGTTTAAGAGGCTATCTCTTACCTCATGCGTCCTCTCAAAGCGTCCGGTGGCATCGCATGTGTCATTCTCGTCACACATTTAACCACTAATCAGAGGGGGCGATTCTGAGAGCCTCTTCCTTGATTGACAAGTGTTAAGTGTAGGGTCTATCGAGTGGTTGTCACAACAGCATCTGGCATCGTAGAAAGAAATAAGTTCTCCCTCCGGGGTGCGTCTGGGCTGCCAGTACGGTTTTTAACCTGAGTTTGCGCAGGTCAGGTCCTATTCTCCGAAGCCCCTATATATTCGAGAGGGCGAGCCAGCATCATCAACCAACGACCACTACCCACATCGTGAGGTAAGTGATCAATGGGTTCGTATATCATGTGCCTTGAACAAGTGCAGTGAGCCAATATTTAAAGCCTTCTGCATTTATCCGACTCACATTTCTGCCTCACTGCGGCTGACATGATTTTGAGATTCGAGAGTATAGAAGGCATCATTTCTCCAAGGACTCCGATAATCAGAACAACTATCTTTTCAGAGTGGTCTGGTTAGAGTCTGCGGAGTTCGAGAAGGAAATCTCGATATTTTATTCGATTTTCCCCCTATTTTCGGACGATGGTCGTCTTGTTAGGAGCTGAAAACTCCACGATAAATATTGTTTTGTTCTGATGGTCGGGAAGAACTGCATCAGGCTTATTAGCATAAAAGTGGGTAACGAATAGTTCCAATAAATTCGGCTTTTACCGTTCCCACAAAGCATTCAATATCCCCCGGAGCGAAGGGCAACACTGATGTCTCGTCGATACCGTAAGAGTGCCGTAGGTGGTTATATAGCACTCTTAGGGTCGCATTATGTCGAAAGAAATATTATGGACAATTATTATTATTACTTTTCATCGTTCGTATGCGGGCGACAGCAACGGAAAAACAGATTTTTAAACAGATTTTTTTTAAGGCAGACAACTCTCAAAACAGTATCACCGTGAACAACACGTTACGGTTCTTATTGATGCTCTGTCTTTATCAATATGTACATTGAGTCTCAAAAATTATTACATCAACATGTTTCAGATATTTGCATTTTTCAAAAATTTGGTGATTTGGCAACGATGTTTCCACTCACGAAATAATATTTTGTTGAAATTAATAGTGAGAAGAATGTGATCAAACTAAAACATAATTTGGGTATTTTCATGTTCCATAATTTGAAAAAAATATGGAAGGTGAAAATACCCAAAGAATGTCTATAAAAATTATATTTTCCTCCACAAAAAATGACTTTCGTTTAATATTTTGAGTATCGTGTTTCGTAAATTTTTTTCGATTCCATCTTTCCGCTTCCAGAGATTTTTGGAAATGTGAAGAATTGCTGTATAGCCTTTTATTGAAAGGATATTATTGATTAAACAAATAATTCAACTTCAACAACCTATGTTACCTATTTCGTGTAAATTACTCTCGAAAAACTTCAGTGTCACACCTCATTTCAAAATTTTTTTGAGTCATTGATAATTATTATAATTATTATCTTCATATGGATTTTCAAAAATTTATGCTTGGCACAGAAATTGTTCTCTTTGTTTTTGACTTTCATAATATTCTTTCATGCATTATTCTCGAGTTTGAGTTTCTTCGAAAATGAAGAGCGATAATAAATTCTCGTTTCGAGTATACTTACCTACTTCAATTGGAATTTTTGCTATTGATGACGTACAGAAACTTATTTATTTATCTATTTATTTTCATACAGGTGTAAGGTCTTACCTTTCAACGTGTGATTCCTTTTAACGTGTTATTCCAAAAAACAGATAAGCTAATGATTTATACTCAATATGTAATTTTTGAAACCAGTGAGGAATTTTTTAGGGGGTTGGACAAAGTTGTGTTCAGACATTAATAATATATTATTTGTGACTTTCAACATTGTTGCGCTTGGGGTACCTTGAGTCATGGTGTCTAATGGAATTTCGAAAAAAAGGGTTGATATTGTAATTCTTCTTTTCATCAAACTACGTAACAAAGGACAGTTGAGATAGTTATTATAAATTTTTTAACATATTGCGATTATATGTATATAGAGTTGACTTCTTTGTATTTTTTCAAATTATAGATTATTCAATAATAACATGATAATTTTATCACAGAAATGAGTTCAGATATGTCATGGTTATCTACATTGAAAGATGTATTGAATATTACTGGAGTTTCATTCCAAAACCAAACCGTTATTTTTAACACTTGGACACATATTTCAATCAACAAGTAATCATCTTCAAGAGAAAGACTGAACTGAAATTGAAAAATGCATTGGATGAAAAAACTCTCAAAATTGTGCGTGAATCCTAAAAATAAAAAAATATAATTTCTGAAGAATATTATTATAAATTATGCTCTTTTCCGAAACACAAATTTGATACAATTATGTTCTGATACCATCCAGAACATAAATAAACATTCCATCGAAAACATAAATTGAGAAGATATTTTTGACAACAATATTCTAAGGAATTCTGAAAACGAATCTACCTATTACAAATTGTGTGCTGAGAACTTATAATAATGTACTTCATATTCGTGTGCTCACCTGTCACTGGAAATTGATATTCAAAAATTGGTGTCTGTTGGGGCGGCAGTGGGGAATTCACAGCAGCTGGAATCAAATTTGGAGTTGCTCGAACTGGTGGTAATAAAGGTGCTTTGAAAGAAGATCTTGGATTTGATCTTCTGTCGGAGTAACCAATCGATCCTGAGCCAAGGGCATACGCACCTGAAAATAAACGAATATATGATTCTATGGACTTGAGAAATGAAATCACTTGAGGAATGAAAACATCTCTATCTCCACATCTATCAACGTATTTTCAATAAACTATGTTTTTATCTCTCGAAATGAAAAACCGATTTGTACAATCGTACAAATCCCATTTATTATTCGCCTGGCTCACTCGTCAAAAAAACTGATTTTCTAGTAACCTACCCACTTCATTTTTCCTAATGCTGCTATTTTTATAGCTCTCCTCCCTAACTTCTCATTCTGAACGATTTATTTTCGCGAAATTATGCCACAATTTCACAAAAACTATTTTCAGAAATGAGTTTTTCATTATACCGTTAGATAAATAGCTTGACCATCCGAATTCTACGTTCATCATTTCATATTTCAGATAATATTCCACCACTGAAAATAAATACTTCATACCTGCTTTTAAAATCTTGCTGAATTATAATTCATTTTCTGAAGATGTGCAGTAATTACTCACCCTAAACAAATAGATACAACTGCCCGACTGAGTCATGGCCGGTGAGAAGCCCCTTCCTCAAGATGTGTTGAAATATGTTATTAGTGTATTGGATTATTCGAGCCGTAAATGTAAAATTGCAAAGAAAAGTTTCTATTTGATGAAGGTGGCTGAGGAAAAAAAAATGTGGAAATTGGTACACATTATTGATGAAATCAGTCAATAATGAAATACACTTGAACGACTCTTACTTCGAATCTGATTCGTCAATAGTTACAACAAAAACTTCACATAGTTCGATATCATAATTCATATAATTTCATCTTTTTTTTTTTGGCAAAAGTACTATAGGAAAATCCTTGAGGTGCTCTGAGATCGGTGCCTGTGCAAAAATAGTGATTCCCACTGAATTCGAATCACTGGAGAATTAATTCACTTGGAAAAACATAATCAGGAAGTTTATTCCACATAAACGTAGTTCTCCAAATCAAAGAGTTCTTGAAAGTGAAGTACGAGGTGTACTGAGTTGAACCTCAAAACGATGAGCAGCCACAGTGCGTTGCGTATTTTTGATATATACTTGTTGTGGAATCAAATGTGCCAAGTCACTTGAACACTTCCCGTGGAAGTATCTGTAGAAGATAAACAAATCTCCAACCTTTCTTTGATGTTCCAGACTATCAAGGTTGCAAGTGATGTTCGCGTCTCCACCTAGGTGGATGGTTCTTTTCTGGATGGAATTCAGTAGCTTCAGGGTATGAAAATCAGGTCAGACAATTCCACCTTCTGCGTCGATAAGTTTGTTGGGGATTAAAATGGACACCAATATGTCTTTGCACAACCATGTCGCTGGAATTGCAAATGCCGCTTTTCAAAAGCTTTGAGAAGAAACTTCTGAGAAGCTTTACGTGAGAAAAATACTCCGAAGGAGGTCTGATCTAAGCTTTATGAAGCATCAATAGTTGCTGAGGTGTGTACAGTTTTCTAGTTTGGAACAGTGTTCAAAGCTTTTGAGAAGCGGCATTTGCAATTCCAGCGACATGATTGTGCGAAGACATATTGGTGTCCATTTTAACCCCCAACAAACTTATCGACGCAGAAGGTGGAATTGTCTGACCTGATTTTCATATACGGTTCGGACACCTTTGTTTTTGTAGGAGAAAACCGTTGCCTGGGTTTTGTGGCATAGAACTGAACTTAGTTACTTTCATCCCAGTTCGAAATCACTTCTAGATCCTCATTAAGGTGTGCAACCTCCTGCTGTCGGTGAAGAAATGTATTCGCCGCGTTTGTCCTGGAATCCAAATGGAATGACGGAACAAGTGTGCTATCGGCAGCAAAGCAATATATTGGATTCTTGATTTTTTCCAATAAGTCGTTGATATACAATAAAAAGAGGGTTGGAGACAATATAGATCCCTGGGGATCCCTGGGATCAATATTGCTTGACGGCTACTTGCAGGAAACAAAATATGTGAACTGCTTTTTGATTGGTGTATATTGAGACATATAAGTTCACACGAACTGATTATTATTTTCAACTATTCATGAAATGCACACTTGTGACAGAAAATTTGCGGTTATTTACTCAAATCATGTGAATACAGTATCAGCCTATCTTTGTTTCATTACTGCACCGCTTTTATGAATTCAAGTTTTCAAACATTCGTCATAACTAACGAAACGGGCTATGCCTATCTGAATCTGGCAGTCACAAACCGAATGCCTACTGAACGGTAAAAACTGAAAATTATTGTGAAGAACTTTTTCTTCAACATTTGGAGTAATATAATGGATTGAAAGCCCTTTCATAATAATAATATGATACGTTTATCATTGACCAAAATCCACTGAAAATCTTCAGTATCAATTCTAAGGAACTAGGTAAATGAAAGGTGGGAGTTCAGTTTTATTTCAACACTTCTACTCGAATCCTTACTACAAAGTTAACTTAAAACTGATAATATGTATAATCATCGACTAGTACACAAAGAACCAGGAGGCGAGAGAAAAGCAAGATAAAGAAAAGAGAGAGAGAAGATAGAGAACTACAGTGATTCCATTAGGTCATGAAACAGCTAGGTTGCATGACGACGCTGTGAGAATTTATTTTTTTGCTCCGAGTTGGGAGATATTTCCAATTATTTTTCATATTGATAGTTCACGCAAAAATTCAGTAATGGATGTTTTCAAAGAGAGACACGACCTACTGTAGTCGGTTATCTTGAACGTATTCATGTAACTAGCGATATTATATGAAAAACTTTTGACGTTTGAAATTTTCCTTTCTATATCGAGAAATGGTGATAAGAAAAATTGTAGAGTATTTGAATCATGTATATCTTTTTTATATATGATTTTATCTTACAGATAGTTCGGTTGCTTGTATTTCAAAAGTTTTTAGAAGTAGCGAAGGGTATGTTGTTTACGCCCGTTGGACTTTTTGAGCTATCTTCAATCTAGTGTAACTTTTTTTCAATATTATATTGATCTGTTCTTTGGATCTCAATTTTTGATCTATTATCAAACCCAAATTTTTTGCACTCTCACTTGAAGGTATTGTATAATTTCCCATCCTCAGTACAAGATTAGAACATATATCATTCCTGACATTGTCATGCAGAACAGAATATCACATGATTTTTGTTTTTTGAGTAGATGTTTATCACATAAGTCAGTTACAGATTGCAAATCGATATTTATTTCTCTGTTAGTTATTGTGATATTATCAGATTCAAATATTCCATATATCTCATGGAATGTTGCAGTCACTAGAGTCCATATCCTTTATGAAAAAGTGGAGGATGACACCACTGCTCATAGGGTTGAAGTTTCCGAAATGGTTCTCAGGTCAAAATTAATCGTCCTTCAAAGTGAGTTGAAAATTGAATTTCTGCAATATTTTTTTCCCTCGTGGTAGACAGAAAGTGTTCGAGACCTGTCCATCCAATGAGGTCCTTCTGTGCTGATTCTTCTCTTTTGGTTTTATGCTATCTTTTGAAATAATCCGAGGTCATGTATTCCTTTCAGCTTATGGAATATTGCACGTGTCTACGTATAATAAAATTACCGGTGAGTATAGGTTTGAAACACTCAACCAGTCAGATTTATATGTGCAATTTGCATAAATGGTGTTTTAGGCTTTTTGTGTTATCCATACACAACTAGATGTTGATTAAAAAAACAAAATACCTTTTAATGACCTCTACCTTCCACTGAATTGTAGAATGTAAACTTAAAAGATCGATTAGAAATGTTGACCTGACAGCAAATTGAGATTGGGAAAAATTTACGAACCGAATCACTGGGCTGTAACTTGGCAAATATAAGAAGATGCTGACTTAAATTTAAAAAAAAAGCGTATGTAATTAAATCACCCTCATGTTACAATAAACACCTATCAAAGTAAACGAAATCACTACATTGTTTATTCAATATAATTGTTTTCGAGTGATTTCTGTACAATTTCTTTAATTTATTTAACACTTTCTTATTGTCTCTCTTCAAGTTCAGATAGTATCAGCATCTTAATTGGCATGACTTATGAATATAACGAAAGTGAAGGCTTTCAACATTTCAAATTGAGTAGAGTAAAAGTTTTTTTTTGTTGCGATAGAATTTTCTACTGTAAAATATTGAATTCTGTCTAATTCCAACTATTGTCATATTTCATCATGAGAAAACTTTATGGATTCATTAATAGCGTTAGAAAGTGACACCATGCCCTGTGATTTATGTTCATTTTGACTTGATCTTTATCATTGTATGGGCGATAAATTAGATGGAAATTCAAATGAACTCACTGCTATGAAGACAGGCTAGCTGAAGCCACTTTTTGTTGTTTTTTGGTATATGTAGAATGGATGAGGATTTATACAGGTATTTTATTGTGTATTCTGACCTAGAATTTATTTCTCATTAGAAAAAACATAGTGAAAACTTGATATCACTAGCGTTGTCACATTGATAACATGACCAGTATTGAAGTTTCAGAGTGAAATTCGAAATAATTTTTAAAAATACTGAATTTTTAAGTATATATCAGATAATAATACATAGGTTCAAAGCAATCAGTCGAAATACACTACTGTAGTTGTAGTGAAGGGGCATTGGTGAAGTATTCGATTTATTAACCAGACACTACTGAGAAAAATCAACAGATTGTTGATACGTCATCACAGATATATCACTGGACCTCCTATCTCATTTATTCACATTCAAAAATGGAGGTTAACACCCTGCACAGGGGGTTGGAAGTTCTCAAATAATTTCCATCGAAATTGATCCACCTCACAAAATGGTTGAAGTTTGAATGTTTGCAAATATATATGATGGAATTTGCCGATACTTGATGAAAATCCATAACTAACGTATTCGCCTGTCCACCACTCTACAACTTACTGAACAGTCTGAATAAAAACATCTCTTCCAACTAGAGAATGACATGTACATACCCCAGTTATATTTGGAATGTGTCGTTTTGTGGAACAGTTTGTTCACCTACTTTCCTACATTTTGACGAAAGACG